AAACAAACAAACAAACAAACTGACAAATCAAATGATTTATTAAAACCAATAAACCCATAAAACCCAATATATCTTGGCACAGCAATTCAGTGAAATCATTTTATGCAGATAATCTGATTGATTGGACTTTTAACACATCAAACAGATTATCTGTAGATTAGCATCTGTACATGCTAAATAAATACTCCATTGTTGCTCTGCAGCATCTTTTCTTTTAGTGGAAGAGAAGTGATGTGTTCAGGCTTTCTAATGTAGGTCACATCCTCACACAGTTAACACATTCCGTGAGGACATCTAATCCAATAAATCCTCTAAGGAAACCAAAATGATGACAGCAATAACTATATGTGAAGTCATTACATCTGGAATTTATGTCAAAACCAACAACTGGTGAGCAGACTGTTCAGTCATGGTGTATAAATGACAGCAGAGGCATAAGTTAAAGGAATCAATGGTGGAGCTCTGGAGCAGTAGATGCAGCATCCAGCAGTCAAAATGGAGGGAAGCTTTAGAAGGGTTGATTTTTGGGTTTGTGCAAAGATGGATGGTGTTTACTGAAACCACATGGCAGCAAGTTTTAAAGGTCTGAATTATGTAGCATCTGCTCTTTAACTTCCAATAAACAGCAGTGGATTCTAGATCCTTCACCAATCAGAGGATGATATGGATGCAATGGAACACTGTGGACAGGAGGCCATCCATCACAGCACAAACACAGCAAACACACTTATAACTATGTTACATCCCCAAGATGGATGTCATTTTGTTTTTGCACCCAAGTGACACTTTGGCTGCGTTCGAGTTCATGGGATGCGTACTCCGAAGGCCGGATTCGAAGGCTGATTACATCATAGCATGGCGCCTGATCGGATTACAAGGCTCCTCATTATGTGGCCCACAATTTTTTGCTTGATTTGAAAGACGGGTCCAGTGTATCCTCTCTATCCTTGGATATCCCAGGATTCATTGCAATACCAAGAAAGCCGGCTCCTCTATGATCAGAGGAAAAAGGCACTTGGTGTCGAAAAATGGTGAATATTGGTTAAGTTTAATATAATCCAGTCTGTGAATAGTTCCGTCTGATATTAATGAAAATGGCTGTTTTAATGGTTATTGAGTCAGATATGTGGCGGTAGTGTTTGGTTTATCTAAAGGTTTTTATATGTTACTGTGTAAATGGGTTTGGCTGTAATTTAAGGACAGATTCTAATATATTTGCAGTGTGGGGACTATAAATCTGATTTTTTACTGCTGTTTTGCACAATATGCTAAAATAAATATTTTTTGTTGCTGAATATAAGAGATTTTGCTGATATAAATTTTTATACATGCATTGTTTAGATTTACTTATATATTTTTACATCTTTTATACAATAGAATAGAATAGAATCTCTTTATTGTCTCACAATGGAGAAATTCTTGTGTTTACAGCAGCAAAACTGATTATTGAAAATTGTCACACAAATGTGGACCTTCAAAAATGTATAAGAATAACATAATAGGGAAGAGTTAAAATATAAACAATAAAATACTGTAAAGTGTTTTAACAATATAAAACTGGAGAATAAATAATCAATATCCAGCTATGGACATTTTTACAGTGATATATATTTGAAAATAGCA